CCCCCCCCCCCCCCCTTTGGCCTGGAGCGCGCCCCGAAAAATAATTGGTATTTTATTTTTAAAGGCGAACGGTGCCATTTGGTACGCTTTAGAACTATGATTCATGTGGTCAAAAATCTAATTTAAAGAGGGGACCATTGGTGTAGTTTTTGTCAGAAATCGGAAGGGGGGTCAGGAGCCCCTTGAACCCCTCCCCCCTAAATCCGCCACCGTGTTTGTTCCTTGCCTATTTGGGCACATTTAAATATTAAAATGTGTTTTTTGATATTGCTAAGAGTTTCTTAATTTCTGTGTCGCACCTCGATTTGATGTTAACGTGAACCCGGGGTATTTTAATTGGTAGGCCTATACTTTGTTTTTCTTCTCACCTTTGCAGCTAATAAACTGATAATAATGATTATAGATCTAGTCTATCGTTAAAATTCGCAATGCGCTAGTTGAGAACAAAATCGCCAAACAAACTGCGCACGCGCATGATGCCGGATGTTACCCTCAGTGGCTTTACCTTCTTCAGTCGTGCAATAACTAACGTGGCACAAAATGATAAGCTGACATATTTCGATCTGCATACGGTACAAACAACACAACACCAGGTAGGGATCTTGATTGATTTCAATTTTGATTTGATAATTTTTCAGAAATGTGCGACATATTTCGTATGTAAACCAACAATCCCCTACAGGCTACAGGGTACCCTTGCAAAAGTTGCATTAGAGTAACTACAACCAGTAACCACTACTCGCACATTGTCATTGTTAACTTGATGTGGGTGTCACAAAATTTGGTAACCTTATGTAGTTGGATACAGGTCATACCTCCAGGAAACCTAATTCAATATGGCATTTGTTTTTCATACAAAAGAGTGATAAATACTAGAGCTATCTCTTGTCTTAGTCTTATTCTTTGATTATACAATACAATCATTACGAATTACGATTATTTATGTGAGCGCCATATCATGTTTAAAAGGTGTTAATTAAGATTAAATGAAAATTAGGTGAGAAAGATTTTTTTATTCTTTCTAATATTTCTATGATGGCACTTTTTGATAATAGTTATGATACCCTTTTAGCCTCAATTGAGCCTGAAATAAGAATCAGTTTGGGAACAGAAGCATGTATCAATTAGTGATTAACTAAATAAATGAATTCAGCCAAATCATCATTTGCAAGAGTTCTGCTATGATTTCATTTAATTATTAACAGTACTTTATTTCAATATAATCCATTATATATTAATGGGAATCCACACATGAAAAAAGAGTAGAAAATACTATAATGAGTAGAGATGACAACAGCAAGCCTTTTTGGAAGCTTTATGAATTTTTAATTCTTTTTCAAATAGGTGGTGCTTATACTAGATCCTCGTGATGCAGACAAGAAGAACTATGCATTGTAGGATTTTATACATTTTAATCATCATTACATTCTGCCACTGCCAAGAAACTGCAGACAAAAACTCACCTAACCCCACTGCAACAAACTCTGATACCAAGCATGATAAAAATATTGTGACTGAACACAAACAAGCAGCAAATGAAGCACAGGTTGACACTAATTCAAAGCAAGAAGAGTCTGAGTCCACAGAAAAATCTTCAACAGATACCAAAGGTAAGACCCTGAATGCAGAACACAACAAGCAAACTAAAACATCACAGTCACACCAGACACCCATGGTGTTTTCCAGTGAGGGAAAGGATATAGCTAATGAGAGAAGAGAGCCTATGAGCAGAAATGAACACAAAGTGGATCAGAAAGAAGACGGACAACAGCAGAAACCAACCAGAGAGACTGATACAGTAGCAGAAACACCTGACCAGCAGCAAAAACATTTAAAAAAAGAACATTCCAAAGTGCAATCTGTAGAACATCAGCAACATCAGATAGTTAACAGCAGGGAAGAACAAAAGAATGTTAACTTACAGCAGCAAGAAAAAAAGGAACAACATATTCAACAACCTGGAAAACAGCAACACCAGCAGCAAACTGACAAACAAAATCATGGTGCAATACATCAACAACCCCCTGATGTTAAACACTTCCAAGAACACCCAGATGTACAGCAGCAACAACAGATCCAATTAAGTCAAAATGATCATCAACAACAGCAGAAAATACCCAGTAATGTAGAGCAACATGTAGAACACTACCAGCAAGCACACCAAGAACAGTCACAACAACCACACATAACTGTACACCAACCGCCATCACTTTCAAATTTTCAACATGAACAAGAGTCAGGAAAACATCAGAAAGTAAAAGGGAAATTGCAACCCCAACATGAGTCCCAACATCATACTAATCAACAACAGACCAAAGAACAAAATCAACATCAGAATCAGCACCAACAACAAGAGCCTGGAAATGTCCAAGCTTCATCAAGTCAGTCACGTAGTCACACACAGGACAGTACACAGACACAAACCTTACACCTTCAAGACCAGAACCAGGCCAATCTGCAGCAAAATCTTCCTGAACACAAACCTGTTCCTAAGACTGAGCCACATCAGGAGTCGATCCATCATACCTCCCAGCCAGCAGCCCACACTGACTTCCAGAAGTCGGGGCACACAGAGGCTGTGAAACTGGAGCCACCTGGGAACTACATGGAGAATCAACAGGGAGCTGAGGGACCGCCACTAGAGGACCTTCATGATGCCATAGCTGATCAAGACAGCACTGCTCCAGATGTTCTCAAAGAACAAAATGTGAATGCTGAAAAGGTCACTAAAACAGCTTCACAGTCTGTATTGCATGGCAGTGAGGCAGATATGATAAAACAACCTAGTCAAGGTATGAGTACAACAAGGAGCCTAACCTGTTACCAACCAAGGGAAAGGGTATTCATTATAGAATTAGTATATTTAGCTGGTTTTGTAGCTTTTTTTTTTTTTAGATTTATCCCTCTTTTTTATTACAAAAACTAATGTCAAAACAAACTCATCAGTCATTTGGTGTTGGCCCTCAAGGTGAATAAAATTGCTTTTTGAATTAGTCATATGGTGATTTTTTTTTTGTTTTATTCCTTGCATGCTTGTATATCAACAGAATATTTTTATTTGTTTTACTAACTTGTATTTAAAACCCCACAATATTTGACTCTAAGTAACTGTGTGCAATTTGATCAATTTATTATGTATACTTGTAAATCACAGAAATTGTTTTTTAAATTTTGAGAAAAATTCAGAAATCTTTGTCACTCCTCATTAACCAGACTGATAATCATATAGTAAATGTAGATTTTATAGTGTTATTAAAGAATTGTTTATGCCTAGCACTTGCATACAATACACATATTTTAATATTTTATTTAAATCACAGATAAAAAAGCAGAGCAAGAGCAGCCTGAGAAGCCAGCAGACATACCTCCTTCTACTGATGCAACTGTAGATGGCGCATCTGCCGATGAAGATGAAGATGATGAGTTCCAAGATATGCCACATCATCACCCACGACACCACCAGGACTGGGACGATCAGTTTCCAGAGGTTGTAAATCAAGATGATTTACATGCCCATAAAATAAAAAAGATATACCGTGAGAAAGTTGCCTCGGATGTGAAGGAGACAACAGTTATATACAAAGCAGATGAACAAGAGCTAGTGAAGAAGGAGAGATATGTGCAGAAGCTTAGAGCAGACGGCAGTGTTTCAACGGAAAAGGAGGTGGTACATGTGCAGCAGGAGGAACATGACAACCAGGAAAGAGTCAGAGGTATATACTTGTCATTGACAAGTTTATGATACTGTTTTGATGATATGTGTTATCTTGATTTTATCTTACAATTCCTAGTGAGTAAATTTCTTCCAGTAACACAATTTTGATTTTATTTAAAATGGAAAA